ATTCGTTCACGCAGCCCCCATAAAAGCACAATCTAGTTCACAATCATCTCGCTTGCTGGAGCACGTACGGCAGTGGCAGTACAAGCAGCCAGTACAAGCACCTTCATTCCCTAGTGGCCCTGCCCTTCCGTGCGCCAGCGCAGGGAAGAAGCGGCGACTGGGGAGCAGCAACGGACGACGCCACGTGTTGCCTCAATCAATCCAGAGCAAAGTCCAAACCAAAAGCCCTAAAACACACGCTGCCATGCGCACGCCCCAGCGGTCTTAGATGGCAGGAGGAGTAAAAAAAGCACGCGAGCCAGACGCAACCACCGTTTCGCGACGCTAGCGCATACGAGCCCCTTCCCCAAACGGAAATTCCTCTTTGGTCTCACAGTAATAGACAGAAAACTGCGACACCGGCGGAGTGAATGGCCCCCAACTAATCGCCCTTTCATTCTCACAGACCCCATGCGCCCTCAGCCTCACGTTCACACTCAACTCTCATTCACGCTCTGGTCCCCACGCCCACGCCGTTACCACCCTCGTTGCGCGCTGCGGACGCCTAGTGAAAGACCAGCCACGCGCGATAATACAGCAGCGCGAGCGCGAGCCAGATGGCAGCAACCTACCAGGTGGCGTTTTGACGCCACGTTCCTAACCGCCTGCTTGTAAGCGTATGTAAGCTAGGCAAACATACATACATACATACATACATACATACATACATACATACATACATACATACATACATACATACATACATACATACATACATACTTAGCCGCACCATACAAAATGGGCATAACTTAGCCGCACCATACTGCGACTAGAGCCCTGACCAATACCGCTACCACGGTCCGCAATCTTTATGGCTATTTTGATTACAACGTCTAAATGCCATATTAAATTCGACGCAACAAATGTTGCAAACTAGAGCGGCGAAGACCGCTGACCGACCAAAAATTCAAACTGGTCGGAAGACAGCAACGGCCACAAGGCCGCAAACGACCCAGAGGAAAGTAAAACGAGAGGAATTTACTCCTCTCGAACTTAACATTCTCGCGTCACCGACGGAACGGCTCTTCGTGCTCTGTCCGGAGACATGGGAATTGGTCGCGCATTGGCCACCGGGCTCCGACATTTCAGATGTCTACGCTCAGAGCTATGGGCGACTTGTAGAGCACATAATTTCTAAGTTGAAATTATGGGCAAAATCAACGGACTTGGAGGCATTGGAAGGGCCCGCAGTGACGAAGCGGCGCATCTTTCCAATGAAGGATAAGCGCGTTGCGATGGAGATCTCAGTCCTGATGCCACCGGGCAGCTTGGCAAGGCTCACCAACAGCGAGCTTCTCAGGGAGGGGCGCCTACAGCTAGGCGGAGTGGAGTTCTACCCCGGCCAGGAGCCGGTAAACGTGGAACTAACGGTTAAAGGCTTGGATAAGATAGTGCCGCGTCGGTGGGAAGTGTCGGGACTTCCGCTGGGCATAACGCGCCAGGGAGTTACGGCCTTCCTCGCGATGGCGTACAGCAGGGTCAGCGGGAGGCAATGGAAGAGGGAGGAATTCGGCTTTCCCTGCAAATGCCCCTTCCAGGCTGACAAATGGGCAGTGAAGCTACCGGCGGGAAACTTCAATCTCCCGGTGGAGCTCCCCTATACGTATGGCACGCCAGGGGACAGTACCCACTGCACTGGGACCCTGGTCGCGACCAAGGTGCCCTTGGCGCTGGAGGCAGCCCCCGCTGTAATTGGCTGTTTACCGCCAGC